TGCAAAAAAAGTAACAATCAAGCACTTGAGAAGAATTTAAAAAGTGTTCGAGAAAAAATGAACATAGCGTGACACCTGGAAGCGATTAGCGATATTACAATGTCATGTATGGCCATTTAAGGAGCTAGTTGCATCACCACTTCATCTGAGAAATCGAGTACTTTTCTTATGTTTCCGTCCATAAGTATCATATTTTATTTGAACAAATATTATTATTATAAACACATCATACGGATTAGACTGATGATATTAAATAGGCATAATATTCACCGTCATTCTGAAGCTAATTAAAAAAATAGGGTTGATAAAATAATTTTCTTGGCCGCCATCAGGCTTACATACATCCATCCGCACTTACAGACTAATTGACGTCCAATATACATTTTTTCAATCAGTTTTTTTTTATAATTAACAAAATGAAATGTTTTTTGGACATCAGATGTGTTTATTTAAGTATTTTCTTCATATTTGTGGACTTTAACTGTCCTACAAGTTCAGTATGGATAAATTGCTACAATAGTGTCGATTGTCATTTAGATTTATGAGGCGTGCAATCAATAATTTTAGACAGCACAGAAACGAAGGGGACTTCCTCCCAAGTTAGTACCTACATTTACAGGAACAGCAGTCCTTATCACGCGTGCACTATAATAAAAGTTGTTATCAAAATTTGAGAACTTCAATGAAATAGAAATAAATGAATCTAATTGTTTTTCTTATCAATTTTTCAGCGAGAAAACATTTTTTTGGCATAATATCTTCGTTTTTAATAGGTTTATCAAACGGTAAGATGGAACCAGCACAATACCGATATGTACTTGTAGCTAATAGACGACAAGTTTTGGAACAGCAATCTCCGTCTCTAAAACACTAAATACCACGCAGTTATGAATTATTTTAACAAACTTTAATTTTCCCAAGTATACTTCTATTAAAAGGCAAGTTTTGTTTTATTGCATGAAGACTTTTTACTTATTCTGCAAAGCTGCTGGAATTAGTCTTTAATTTGTAAACAACAGTTATCGTCTTTAAAAAATAGGGAAAATAGAAATCAGAACTATTTTTATCAAAAATGCAAAATTAAATATATTTTAAAAATTTTTTCATTATAATTTGTATATAATATTCTGTATGGTTACCCTTCCATTCGCCGTAATACAAGAGAGATTTATTAGATGACCAGAAAGGTTTTGTAATAAAAGTAATTTTATAATCACAATTTGATGAATTATTTTTAAAAATTTTTTTTCAAGAACAATATACGATCTTCACCTCGTTAGAATATTAACTAACTGATATAAAGCTTTTAAAGAAAATCTAATTTTATAAGAAGTGATATAGTTAATTTCCTTTTAAAAATAAGCACAGTGATATGAAAAGATAGTTTATATTAAAAGACGTTTAATTATACTTGTTGTTTTTAACAATTTAAGAAAAAATATATTTTTATTATTGAAAAAACCGACGCTTGTTTTGAAGTACTTAAAATACTTCCAATTTACTTTTTTTACTGTCTGAGCTTATTGTTATTGAAAAAAAAAAAAAAAAAAAAAAAAAAAAAAAAAAAAAAGAAAAAACGGTTCACCCTAAAGGCCATCCCTGCAACTTCCCGCTCATTTTGTACTTAATAAACGCTTCAAACTACACATTACGTTTTTGAGCTCTTCGAGCTCAAAAAATATTGTTTTTGTGTCAATTTGAGCTCTTCGAGCTCAAAAACTCTGATGGCAGTTTAGAGACACAATTTTTTTGAATTTCAAACGGCAATAACTTTTGAATGAATGAACCGATTCAACTTCCCGCTTATTTTGTACTTAAACGCTTCAAACTACACTTTACGTTTTTTTTGAGCTCTTCGAGCTCAAAAATATTTTTTTTGTGTCAATTTGAGCTCTTCGATCTCAAAACTCTAATAGCAGTTTAAAGACAATTTTTTGAATTTTCAAACGGCAATTACTTTTGAATGAATGAACCGATTTTCACGCGGTTGGCGGCAATCGACGCAGTTTTTGAAGCTCCATGAAAAATTTTCAACTTTAAATCGATCGAGCCATGAATTTCGAAGTTATTACAAAAAAACACTTTTTTCGATTTTTTTTGACAACGATATCTCACGAACGCATCAACCGATTCTAACGTTTTTGGTGGCGATCGATGGGGGTTTTCAAGGTTAAGAGCTCATTAGATTTTGAGACCGATCGGTTCAGCCAATTCGGAGATATTTAAAAAAAATTAAAAAAAACAACTTTTTTTCTCACTTTTTTCGCATTTTCTCGAAATCTACTGGTCCGAATCGGTTCAAATTTTCAGAAAATCTAAGTTTGGGCAAGCCCTTTCGAATGGCGCCAACCGCGATCAAATCGGTCATGCCGTTCAAAAGTTACAAGAGGTTTACATACATACACATACACATACACACACACACACACACACACACACATCGTAAAAATAGTCAGGGAAGCTTCCTGTGACCTTCAAACGTCGAGATCTGATGAAAACTCGATTTTTGTAAAACGGGGTGAAAACAATAACTTCCCGATTTTTGAAAATCTGAGATTTTTAGCGGGAAGTTAAAAATCATATTAAGACTTTATGGGAAACTTAAAAATGCTTAACTATAGATCGATTAAATAGGAATAAATGATTTTTTTTAGTTTTGGGTCCTATCAAAATTTTTGGGCCTTATTACAAAATTGGGTCTTAATGGTTTTTAAAATTTATCTGCAAGTATTGTAATATTGGATGCATTTAAATTATAATTAAAAAATCACCTAAAAAATTGGGCCTGAATGTGCGTTGGGCCTTACAAGTTGTTATTTACGTAGGATTTAATTCAATAAATTTTGATAATTTATAAATTCAATAAATGAGGCTCAAAAGAAAACTATCTCCTCTTTATATAATAATGGGCCTTATCGTTTTATTTTTGGGACTTTGGAATTCTTAATCGGAACTATGAATAGTTTAATTGAATATATTGAAGAAAAAAATTGATTACCAAAAAATGTTGAGCATTATTGAATTTTCGGGCCTTATAATAAACTAATATTTTGTGGTGATGATAGGCGTTACAATTGTAACTATAACCAAAGTTTACTGAAATAAATAACTGTGAGAGCTGGGCCTTATGGTGTCTTTGCGGGTCATTGTAAAATTAGGGCCTTACAAACGAAAATATACGTGAAGTTTAATTAAGTACATTTGAATAATTCTTTCACCATATGTCCAATTATCGGTGACAAAAGATGAAAGGCTTGGGCCTTATTGGGGCCCGATGAATAAACTTCTCGGCTGGCGTTACAACAAATGCTGGGAATAACTTCTAAGACACTTACTTGAGTAGAGCTAGTGTGAGTCTTATTGTGGGACTTATAAGGCCCAGACTGAGGCCCAGGCTTATACCCATCTTGCTTTTCAGTCCCCTTTATATTGACGTTGTCGACGGCATAATACCGGCCGGTGTCTCTTTATGATTAGCATTGTGTTGTTGGTGAGGCCCAACGACTCAGCACGAGGTCGGTTCTTATGCCAGACAAGGCCCATGACAACACAAGCTATGCCAAGCACGCGTCTGCTTGTCTCCTCTACTCGTACCAAGTACTCGCCGTTGTCATTGCGTGCGTGCCTTTATTTGTAATGCATTATTAACAACCATAAGTCCCATAAGGCCCCGTATTCACTCATGAGTTCAATCTTTCGTTCATCTTTCAACGCAAGTCTTTATCCTGCCCGACGTACCTCGCTTCAATGGATTACTTTTTTCCTTTTTTTTTTTTATGAAGACAATTTATGTTTTTTTTTTCTTATACTTATAAATATATTTAAAAGTTTAAAGGAACGTTTTATAGTCAATTGTCGCGATTGTGCACCTAACAATGATTTAACTTGACCCGAGTTCTAGTGGGTGGGCCTGATTCTTATCTTTTTTTAATTTACGGAGACTGAATTTTACAAGAACAAGCTGGGAGTTTTTTATTTTATTAATCTGATTTGTAATATTTTAGAGATCTTAGTCTCTAATAAGGCCCAAAATAAAATTTTACATAAGGCCCGATTTTTGACCGTCTTTAAGTGCACAGTAATGTGCTGAACACAAAATTTTATTGTAGTTGAGTCCCAAATTTACTCAAAATCAGGCCCAAAATATCATAAGGCCCATTTTTCAATTTTGAAATATGTTACAATACTTATAGATCATAAATTTACTAAACAAAGCTTATACTGACGTAATTTGTTTCAGAAAAATTTTATAACAATACAAATTGATTCCGAGTGAACCAAAATAAGGCCCAAAATTACAACAAGACCCAAAAACGGAAAAATGAACTTCTTAGTAATTTCTAATTGAAAATTGTTTATAGTTATTATAAAAACACGGGTGCGTAGTAAGACCCAAAATGAATATAAGGCCCAAAACATAAAAAAGATCAATTTCCACGGTAACACGTAATTAAAATTAACTAAAATTCACTCTGAATACTCCAAAAATACAACAAGGCCCAAAAATTACCATAAGGCCCAATTGTATAATAAGGCCCAATTTTTTATTTTTCAAGTATCGTTTACTTACCTCCACAATTCCACACGCCGGGTGAATACAGGGTCTTTGTTTAGATTAAAAAAAAACCTTTTTCTTAATCCTGGGCCCACTTCTGTCGCGTTATTGTGTACGTATATCAGGCCCTGGAGATGCGAGAAGTGGGAAAGAAATGAGAATAAGAAGAGACCCCCTGGTGACATGAGACACACGGTAGCTCCTTTAAGTGTTCCCGCTCTTGAGACCACCGTGACATTTACTCGGAGATTTATTTTTTAAAAGTTTTATTTTTTTCCCAAATTCTACAATACTCTCCGACGAATGAGACAATGGTGGTAACGAACCAGAAACTGACTAAAAAATTTTCTACTAGAACCCGCTGGTCTTTTGTCTTTTGTCACTAGCGCATTTTGATAGAATTATTTACGTTCTTTGTGTTTAAACAAAATCATAAAAGCTAGCCTCAAGGGTGGAACGATCGATCCATAAAGGCACGGTGATCAACAAAGTGGTCAAAGTGCTTCACCGTGATATCTTTTATCAGCTCCAGGTCTTTGATCATCAACACAGGGACTGAGAACTCGAAGATCCCGACGTATTTAGCTTCCGAGTTGCAATTGTATATTTCGGTGATGACATCCACACCGGTTGATCTTCGGAATATGACTTTCCACATGTTTCCTAGCACGGGTAAAGGGGTCTTGTAGGGAATACCAAGTTTTGCGAAGTAGTTTTTCCGAAAAAATAGGAAGTATGTAACGAACACGCACGCGATTGTTAAAATTAGATACATATTTACGTTTTCGGTTTAAATAATCGGTTATTTGCTCACGTTAGACTATAACTGACATAAATAGCGGTTTAGTAGTCGACCTTGGTAGCATGTGGATGTGTAATGTTTGCTGCGCATTAAACTGTGTCAAGTGGGAGCCATTACGTCAGCAGCCTTAACATTCATCAATTGAGATACTTGCCTGGTGTGAGGAATTACAGTGGAAGTAGAACTCCTGTAAATTCGTTCAACTCTAGTTTGACTTCTCCCACTCTGTAGTAGAGGGGGAAGATGCTGCTCTTTCTCCGCAGAAGTGTGAGCGAGAAGGAACATTGCCCTTCTTTTTCCTTTGAAGAAGATTATAGTAGAGGAGGCGTTCTGTAAATTCTTATTATTGTTACCGAATCTTTCGTAGCGGCTTAATTTCGCTATCGAAGGTCAAACATATCTGGACGAGATAATTTTTTGATTAATAGGTTTGTTTGTATAAAAAATTACTCGATAATAACATATGTGAAAAAATATATTTCTTTATTGCTTACATCAACCTTAATTGATAATTGGTTAAAAAATTATGTTATCATAATTATTTCTTTTTTTTTACAACTTTTTTTTAACGATCGATGATTAGTTTAATCTTCATATGCAACTTTTTTGCACAGAAGGTTGAAACTTATTGCGTGCATAAAGATTAAATTGAAAAATCGAATGTTGAAGTGATTATTATTACTTTTTTACAAAAGCACTTGATAGTTTTCAACATTATTGAGATATTTCATTAACACATCCAACAAACACTGATTTCTACACCTTTATGCACCAACCCTTGAACTTCACTAATTATACACCTTTCCTGGCGAGAATTTCCAGCCAAAATCCTCCTTCAGCAGTTACAGCGACAGAACTCGAGGATATCTTCATCGGCAATTTCATCTTTTTAGCAGGCTTGATGGTGCACTTGGCTAAGAGATGGAAGAACAGAACCTTGGTCTCCAAAATGGCAAACCTGTTCCCAATACACATCCTAGGTCCAACTCCAAAGGGAAAGTACGCTGGACTGTGAAGCGCTTCCTTATCTCCCAAGAATCTCTCAGGATCGAACTTCTCCGGATCAGGAAAGTATTTGGGATTTCTGTGAACTGCCCACATAGGAAGGATCAACGCATCTCCTTCCTTGACCATGTAAGGCTTGGCTCCCGGAACAGCAGGAGGCAGTTCGAAATCCTTGGTACACACGCGATCTACCGCGACGGCAGCTGGATACAGTCTCAGCGCTTCGTAGACGACCGCTTCAAGGTACTGCATTGCGTTGATAGCTTCGTAGCTTGGATCCCCATCGCATCTCTCCAGAACCTCGTCGATTTCTTCCTGGAGCCTCTTCTGGACATCAGTATTCACTGAAATCTCGTGGGCGGCGAAGCTCATCAAGGTCGAAGTGGTATCGAAGCCCGCGAAGAAGAAAATGAAGGCCTGGGATGTCATTTTCTCGATTGACAGCTCTGGTTTCTTGGACCCTGGCTCTTGGTTCCGGGTTTCCATCATCAGCTGGATCATGTCCGGTCGGTGAATGTTCTTCTCGTCTCTCGTTGTGATAGTATCACGGACCAGGTTCAGGAAGAACGAATCCGCTTCTTTATCGAAGAGCTTCAAGCGGAGAAACTTGGCCAGCTTCGGGGAGCTCATCGTGATAACGAACTTCAGCATCTGGATTCCTTCAAAGTTGGTGGCTTTTCGACCCAGGACGTAGAAATCGTTCGTCGGGTTCTTCATCGAATCTACGGCGACTCCAAAAGCGCAGGTTGCGATGGTGTCGTTGGTGTAGCGGCTGAAGATGTCCTTCGAGTTGAACTCGTTGGTTTTCTGGATCTGCTCCAACAATGACTCGGTGAAATTGTTCGCGCACTCAGACATCAGCATGAACATGGCCCGCATCTTTGAAGAAGTGAAAGCAGGAGTCAGCAGCGTCCTAATTTCCCGCCACTTGTCGCCTTTTAGAGCAAACAAGTTGTTGCTGAACAGAGGCTCCATTTCAGGGTCGCCAAAGCTACGGTGGTCCACGAAGTGCTCGAAGTTCTTCACTGTGATGCTCTTCAGAAGTTCAGGGTCACGGATCATGATGACAGGCTTGGAGAACTCGTGGTAGCCGATGTATTTTGCAGTATCATCATGCCAATAAATCTTCAGAGTTTGGTTGACGATAGAGAGTCTCTTCAGCAGAACCTGTATGATGTCGTAGAAGATGGAATGTTTTGGAACAAAAGGCATTCCATATTGCGCGAAATTCCTTTCTCTCGATAAAATATAATTTAGCAGGAACAGCAAGCCGATTATGCTGCCCAGAATTATTGTCCATGAAATGTCCATTCTTTTGCGGTAGTATCACGCGGAGGAATAACTGCGATGTACTGGAGTTTGCATTTGCAATTCATTGTCAGTCTCCCACTTTGCACTCAGGAGTAATCAAGTGCAAGATGACGTCAGTGCAATTTTTCATAATGATCCAAGATACATGGTCTGATTTTTAAACTAGATGAGAGTTTGCTTGTTATTTTTATAGAGAAAGTATTGTAATTTGTTATAGTGGCAATTTAGAGTACTGATAGGAAGATTCAATGAAAAAATTGATTTTTGTTGGTGCTATCAGGAGCAATCTGTTGTTATGATGACATAATTATGATTGGTATCATCGGCTTAATATGATAAGTAGGTTGTCGAGATCACAACGTAATATTGAAACGGAATAGATAGTTCTATATTCTGTAAATAACGATGATATAATGTTATCATCTTACGTAAAAAGGCATCGTTGTAGTGCTTGCAGTTGACTAGTGGCGCTGCGAAGGATCTATAGATCACGATTAGCTACTGTTGACACTACGGAGCTCTATATTATCAACGGAAGTTATGATCTAAGACATGCTGGTAAGAAAGCTAACTAGATGATCCTCAATAATCTCCTTTAATGAAGAATTCTAATTTGAAATGATTTAAAACAATTTAAAAGCATCTGATTTGAATACTACATAAATACACAATTGACATGAAGGTAATAATTTCAAATCATCTTTCTGAATCACAGTTATAAAAAGCCGAAAAGAAGCTAGCGCGAAATATTTTTTTTCGCTAATTGGTTTCTGGATCATTGTGGATAAATAAATAATGTATACAAGCCTTTTGAGAAACTATTTTAGATAGTGCTTGAGTAAAATATATTGGATAATTTTTATAGTTTGAACAATTTGAACTCTTAAAAATCATAAAAAGAGTTCTTAACTGCTTAGTCAAGTCTCCAATTTTTGCGATATATGAAGTAGAGTTTTTCCCGAAAGTTTTTGGATAGTTTTTTAACACTTCACTAACAAAAGATTTCAATTTCTGTGATTTATAATGTAATCAGCTTTTCGACAGTATATTCAAAGAGAAATTTTTGTTTTTTTAAATGAGCAATGTTGTAATAGAAAATTAAATTATTTGAAATTTTTAACAATTTATTTTTAGCTGAAGATATAAAAAATTTTTTTACAATAACTTTCTTGTTAAAAAAAAAGTATTTTAGATTTGGGAAAAAAACAATTTTAGATTAAAATTCGCAAGTTGTCTATCTAAAAATTTCTTTAACGAGAAATTTCTATAGCTAAAAATTAAAATTTTCAAAAAAAATTCTTGTCACGACAATGCCGATTTTTTTTCAAAAGAAATTTTCTTTTTCCGAGTATTTGTACAGTTTTTTGTTTTTTTTTTTTACACTGGTGTGTACTTTTGGATTTTCCATCTAAGAATATGATGATAATAATAGTGTCCTAAAATAGCCGACTTTCTTGGTAATTATAAAAAATATCGTGGGAATGCGTTGGAAAATGTTTGCGCTAATCATTAATTCAGCAGACAACCCAGCTCGGACATAAAAAATGGCTTACGCATCCAGTGTAAGAGCTAAGAGCCGAGTAGGATCGAGTCTAGTCGGCTAATAGCCGGTTTGATTAAACTTTTTGCGAGGAGTTGACGTTTGATCTCCCATCTGGATGGCGATGTACATTTGTATTTGTACTTATCCTTATTGTAAGCGCAAACAGTTATCTTCCATTTCTGTGAATAACTCCGGACTGGGTTGTAAACGAGTTTCGAGATCCGAGGTTCATCTTCGATTCGAGGATGTACTATGCTATTTTTATTCATTTTTACTGCCTAGAAATCAGTTTATTATCGCTTTAGCTTATAACTAAGCACATATTTTTTCACGTAGTTTAGAATTCTTAAAAAATTCTAGAAGGCTAAAATTAGTGTCTTCTTTCTTCAGTTCAATTTTTTTTGTAGACTTGACAATTAATACCTCGTGAAAAATTGACTGATATGGCTATATATATGGAAATTTCAGGAAATATTTGCCTTGAAACACTGTAAAAAAATTTGGGGAGTCGATTTTTATTGATTGGATCCTTCTGGAGTGAAATTTATTAAAAAAAAAAAAAAAATTTTTATTTTAGTAATGAAAAATTTACCTTCGATTAAAATTAAAAAGTTAAAAATTGCGAATTTAGAAATTAAAAAAATTAATATAGTCTTTTTTATCAATTTAATGTAAAAAATACATTTTTATATCGAAAAAAAAAATTGCATAAATATTTTTTTCAATTTCTACAAGTAGCATTTTTTTGATGAATTCTTTGTACAATAATTTATTTGTTAAGAAATTCTAAAAATTGTCAGATAAAAATTATTTTTAATATCATTTATGTAATTAATTTTATTCAATTAAACGTAGTGATGTTAATAATTCATTATTTACACTTTTTTACATCAGGTTTTATCGATAAGAATCAAAATAATCTTTATCAAAGTTTGCTTCAATGTTCCTGTCAAATTTTTTTAAAAAATATAATCAATATTTACAAATTTCAACTTATGATAAATTGTGTGATGCATTTGTTAAAATTCATTTTAGTCTGAAGTTAGTATATATGAAGATAGTTAATTTTTAAGTGTTAAGTCATAAAATAGAAATAAATTTTTTAATTAGCAAAATTTCCGATTAATTTTTAATTTTATCAAGTATTTAACAAATTATCGTCCAATTAAACATTTTAATCAACGAATATATTTCTACAAAAGAAAAAAATAATATTAAAATTAAATTTTTAAATTGCAGTGTCCTGGTATAGAACGAGATATATTTAACGGTAATATGGTTCACATTGTTTGATTTGAGCTTTTGCTACTTTTCCTAATATTTGACAATGTTTCGAGCAACAATTGACGTCTTCCTCACACTAAAATAAGTAAATTCAGAAAAAATAGTATTTTTAATTTTTATTATTCATATTGATATTTTATACTTACATCACCGTGTAGTTTGCACTCATAAACAACATAGCTTGTCACGATAATTACATTAAGCAAAACAAAAAATACTAAATACAATTTTGACATTATTGTTTCTATCTGTAAAATTTTTATTGTACGACGTAGTATTAATAATTTTATAACGATACTGTAATTGACGACTTTAAATTTATTTTTTTTTTTTAATTGAGAACTATTAAAGATATATTTAATAACTTAGTATTTTTTTCTTTATGTAACGTTTAATTACGCTAAATATGACTACTCTTAAACTTCTCACATTAAATATTAATAGTTATCATTAAAAATTCATTAAAATCAAAAGTACTTTACATTTCAGAAGTAAATCTACTAAACAATCCTGAATTTATACTGCTCGACATTACTTTACCTTCAAATACTCATGTGTTTGTATCTTCGATTTATAGAAGGCCACAAGGTGATCTTTTAAACAATTTCTTTGTCGAATTTGAAAAATTTTATCCACACTTCAAAAATATTGTTGTCATGGGCCGACTTAAATTGCAACCTATTGAAGTCGGACAGAGCATCAGCTCATCTTAAATCATTCATCACGGAGTCTACACTTTTCAATGTGCCTTTTGGTTCAACATATCACACATCCGAAACTGATTCGTGGTTAGATGTGATTATCATTAATAGTCAGGAGAAGCTGGGAAATTTTTCTAAATCATTATCATCATTTATAGGAGGTCACACGATTATCTCCAATGTGATTATGATTTAAAGACAGTAGATACTGCTAATAAATCTGTTAGTTTTCGAGATTTCAGACACTGTGATCATCAAGCTTTAGCCGAAATGCTGATGACTAAATTAATTTTGCCAAATCAAAGTAGTGTAGTTTCAGATCCAAACGAACTTGTTGCCTACTTTTCACATTCAGTTATTGATACATTAGATCTCTTTGCTCCAATAATGAATAGGACCATTAAACGTAATAGCAAGCCCATGGATAACTTATGAACTAAAAACCGATCTTCATACTCGTGATACTCTTTATAAACGAGCTCGCAGAACTGGAAATTCACACTTACTTACTCTTTTTAAAATAAAAAAAAAGAATTAAAAATCAAATTGAACAATGCGCGTGACAAATATCTTAGAAACGTCTTGGAGGATGAATCTCAAGGAACAAACATCTGGACTAAGTTGAAGCGATTGGGCATCATTAAATTTATTTTATTCAAATACCTAGATCATTTTGATGCTGATGAATTAAATTTATTTTATTCAAATACCTTAACTAGGCATCCTTTATGTACTCGTGAGTTTATTGAAGATCTACACCTTAACTATGCAAAGAATGTAAATTGCAGTTTTAGTTGGTCAAACATAGATATTGTTGATGTCACCAAAAGCCTTAAATTAACATTACAAAAATCGAAAGGAAAAAGTCCAGACGGCTTAGATTTGAGATGGTTAAGAGATCATATACCACAAATATCTCTATTTCTTATGTCGATCTTTAATAGTTCATTGGACACTTGTCTGTTTCCAGATAACTGGAAAACAGTCTTCATTGTTCCTTTAAATAAAGTAACACCTCCTAAGTCAATGTCAGATACTAGGCCCATAGCAAATCTACCTCATCTTGCTAAAGTGTTCGAGCGTATTGTTGCAAATCAGGTAGTCAGCTATCTTGAGAACAATGATCTATTAGACAAACACCAATCAGGTTTCCGCAAGCATCACAGCACTCAAGCTTCACTACTGAAATTGACCGATGATATACGCCTAGCGATTGATCAAGATGATCTAACCTTCCTAATATTATTCGATTTTACAAAGGCTTTTGACTACCTAAATCCTAAGATATTATTTATAACAATGTATGAGATGGGCTTTTCCACTGAAGTAATTCTCTGGTTTCATTCATATCTCACGGGTAGATCTCAGTCAGTTGTGGATCCTGAAAATCATCCTTCTAGACAGATTGCTACAACATCGGGAGTACCACAAGGATCTATTCTGGGACCGATTTTATTCCTAATTGTTATAAATGGAGTATCAAAATGTTTAAAGCACTCGAAAT